CCCATAGTGAGGATAGGTACTGTGTTTGTAAATTCTCACAAGACTACTCCGACTGGTCAATCACTTCACATCCGAAGTATTTCAGTTTTTCTTAATTATGTACTTACCCCATGTTTTCGGACAATATATTGACTATGACATTATTTGCGGTCTCTGTGCTTGCACTACTCTGTACATTCTTTTCCGACTGGGTCTTGATATTTAGATTTTTAGTGTTTCTCACTTGAAACTAGAAAAATATAAATGATCAGTTTGGCTAATGTAAATGAGTAAAAATGCAACCCATTAGGCAGCCTCAAACAAAAAATTACCTTACAAAAATATAAGTATTAACCTCAAAATATTCGAGAAGCGTTCATGCGATAAACTCTCTTTGTTTTACCACTTAGGTAACATTTATTTCTTTTCCTACCCACATTTACATTTAGAGTCACTTAAACGCATATAAAACACTAAATTAACGATTTTCGCTACAGACATATCGACTGTTGTTACCTTACGTCACACGTCGAAGCGCCTAGTAATTTATTACGGCAAACTTTTATCTGGCAATATACGATATTATTATTAGGTGTTTTTAATTAAAACGAATTATGTTAATAAATACTATTTTGTATCGAAAATAAAGATAGCAGGTACCTTCGGAATCACAATACAAACATTTTTACGTAAAAAATTTTTACCTAAATTAAAATATTCACAGAGTTTTGGAAGAACAATAATTTCATATATCATTTCTTAACATTCTTTTATTTGTTGGTATATTCATTTATTTTAAAATTTTAAAATGACGGTCACCTTGTGAAGGACCCGAACAAACCTACAAAAATGTTTTAAAGCTTAGAATTACTTCAGGTCAAAGTTCTAGTCAAGAGAAATACATTAATTTTCGCCAGTTCTCTTCGTATTCGGCCTTAATGTGCACAAGAATAGAGTTATCAAAAAGAAATGGCGTAGAAGAAGATGGTGGATGTTATCCATCCATCGCAATAGAAATAAATATGTCCTAAGTCAACTTAGTTTTCTATAAACACAAATAATGAAATAATTATAATTAATAATTTAATAAATAGTTATTATTAATTATTCAAAATAAATAAAAACAAATTACGTATATGTTCTGATTTTAGTAGCTCTATGATTAAAATTTTATAACTTTATTATGAGGCCATATATTCGACATTTTTAATTCCTTAATTAATAAAAATATGAAAATATGAACGTCCACACTCAACCGTCGAGCGCTCAAATCTGTGGAATGGGCCACGTGTAGATGCGTACCACCATCGCTGGCCCACTGCCTTTGATGTGCGGTGGAAAAACCGACACCGTCGCCATCTCCAAGACCATCGCACGCGCCATAAGCCATCCCATAGAAAACATTCCGTGTTCTGTGAGCCATCCGATACAACTACGCCCTCTACACGCTGGCCCATCATAGTGGATCATGGCGATGGCCCACCGTGTAGAGGGGCTATAAGAGTTTAAGTGAGATTGTGGATAACATTTTACGAATTTTTGCAAACACAGGTTCGGGGCCATGTACTCCCAGGGCCCCGTATCATTGATACGGTTGATACGGCGGTAGCTACGCCCCTGGTAGACACCCCAGATATATGAACTGAAAAATTGTCTACGTGGGCGTCAAAAACCGTTATTATATTGTATAAATACGTAGGATGTATATTATGGGTGAGATAATATACGCGGCGGGCCAGCATACTACAGCGGACAGCCAGCGCCCTCTTTTTTCTTTCAATGTCTATAACCTTTCAAATCTTCGGTAACCACATGGCCAAGGTACTTAAATGCAGTTACTCGTTTAAGTACAACACCCCCTAAAGTTACAGGTGGATCCTCCATCCTGGTATATTTTACCATAACAGTCTACCAAAGGACCACTGATTTAGGCCTCCCCCATAGAAAGGATTACTTACTTGTCATAGCTACCGCGCTTGGCGCTTATCACCAACCCGCCTTGTTGATTGTTTTTGTGGTTTGTTATTTTTTGTTCGGTTGTTATTAGGAAGATACTGTTGTTCATCTCCCGGTTCAGTTTGCTTCTGTCGCCTCTTACGACGCCCACGGGATGATGTGGGGTAGTGGATAGGCTTACACCGCCTCTACACGGTGTTCCTTGACATGGTCTATTTGTGTGGCTTTCATCCAAATCTGTTTATGCGTGATTGAGGAGAATATTCAAACATCTGCACAAACTTTCATAAATATGATTGGTACGAATGCACATGAGTAAAGAAAACGAAAGTATGAATTATAGTAAAATATCGAAAGCAATATTTTTATTGTGTCCTTAATAAACATCTTGAAAAATATTTATACGTACATTAGAAATAATAAATTTCGGTACGTTGAACATTCTTATTAGCTTGTTTTTTACAACGATCCAGTTGATTAACGAGTTTGCGTTACGTTTCGTGGGCAAAATGGAGTTTTGATGGCTTAGAAACCTTCTAGTGTTTGTTGTTTTATCCCCTATCGTAATTACACTGCCCCTTACTGAAGTTTCTGATGAGCTTGGATATATATCTCTGCTGCAAACTTCTGTACGCGGACTCCAAGGATATTTCACTCGAATTATTTTCCTAGCCCAATTAGAAGCGTAGGATTCTACAGAGGGAGGGAATAAAGCTTCAGATATATTTGACCGCAATATAATCGGCGAATTAAACTTCAAGCTTCCAGAGGGTAAAGATTTAGAGACGCATAAAGTGATTGTATTATTTCTGGAATTCAATGGTGGACTTAGTACACTATACGTAGTTGTAGATTTCGGTTCAATAGAGGAAGTTGAAATCTCTTTGTTTTAGCAATGGGAAAATGATTTGTGAGACAAGATGAACTGTTTTCAGTGCTACAGGCTGAACTATGTGTGTGCGTGCGTGCATGCGTGCGTGCGTGCATGCGTGCGTGCGTGTGTGCGTGCTTGCGTGCGTGCGTGCGTGCGTGCGTGCGAGCGAGCGAGCGTGCGTGCGTGCGTGTCTGCGTGCGTACGTGCGTGCGTGCGTGCGTGCTTGCGTGTGAGCGCGCGTGAGTGCGTGCGTGCGCGTGTGTGTGTGTGTGTGTGTCAAGTCAGGTGCTACAGACGTAGGAGCTGCTGACGGGCCGGCCTCCGAGGCTCCGGCTGGCCCTCCAACGTCTGCGGCGTTACACCACCAAATCGTCTCAGGTCTGTCTCCTGCTGGCGTTGACTTCGTGTACGGACACCCTCCGTGTCATCCTTCGGTAAAATCGGCATGATTTTATCCCACTTCTGACACCAATTGTTACGAGTTTAAGGTTCGTGACAGAGTCTATTTTCGAGAGTAAAAAATGCCGATTGAATTACCAAAATTGACACTTTAATTTCCGTACACCAATTAAAACTAATACACACTAATAATTAATTACACTTAACACTTTAGTTCAATCCGAAAGCTTCGTTCGTCTCGCCGATCCAATACTGCCCCGGTCGCGGCTCCCAATGGCCTTATATAGGCCTTTTCCACCGAAACATCTAGAATGTTCCAACAAATAGCGGTCCCGACCGACTAGATGTAGGAAATTCGAGTGTGGACTTTTCTAGAAATCTTAATTCCTCTATTAGATACTAGACGGCGCTGTTGGTGGAAAGTTCAGGCACGGCATTTTCTAGAAAGCTCTCCTTGCTCTGCTCACCGACACTAGATGGCGCTAGGGACATCAGTTATGTCTTGCAACATTACAATGAAGCACATATAAAGACTAGAAATACTATTGAAAGATAAATATTAATATAAATTTATTAATAATTTATTTCAAAAATTTCATGAATATAATGTAAAATACTTTGAACTTTTGAGATGTTTTGGTGTGTGGAAAAGGCGCTTTCCTATACTCTTTCTGAAAATCCGTGTAGCTATGCAGACTACACAGGCCATTATTATTGCCACCTCTGTATTACACAACATCTGCAGATTAAATAATATAAGGAATGTGGATCCAGAAGTTGCAATGCCACATGAATCAGATGACATTACCTATACTGAAGGGATAGGTCATCAAAATCAGTGTCAGACAAGAACTCATTAATAATTATTTTAGTGTGTAAATGTTTAATTATATCAGAATGTTAGTGTTTAAATGTTTAACACTATTAGAATTTTAGTGTGTAAATAATGATAAATTATACTAGAGTAAATGTGCTTTATTTCAATAAATATTTTATTTCAAAAAGGTTAATAAAAATTAATTTATAAAATAGATTTTATCTTAGAGTAAATCTCATAAAAATTAAAATTAACAAGTTATTAAAGAACACACCTTATAGTCACTATTTACACAATCTTAGCATTAGTACTATATTAATCACAGGTCACTCATTTAATTTTTTTATTTCTAACTGTAGTTTTATTTTTTCAAGCTTAACTACTTCAGTTTTGGCTTCAAAATAAGCAGCCATGGCTAACTCCTTTCTTATCTGAGCTCATTGTAGTTCTTCAGAGGGCATTTGGCGTTTCTTTACTGTGAAAATAAAAACATAGTTAAATTCTCATATTTTACACTGTCCTAGTTTGATAGATTTGATGACTGATGACCACAGAGATCAGGCACAGGAGACGGCATAAAAACATTTTAGTAACTACTAATATTCAAACTACATTAGAAATTACACAGAACCAACTGTACTACTGTTCAGCAAACAATTGGGTGATCAGCCTTAAGATTTCCTGATGAACCAGAAAAAAAAACACAAAGTATAGTTAAAAACCTGCAAAAAGCATTCACACCGCTAGACCATAGAGATGGTCTGTTTTGTTTAGTAGCAACTAACAACTGAGGTAAAATATAACTTACAGGGTTTGTAGGGATTATTAAAAATAAATCTTTTTGGTGTGAAAACTCACTATCACCACCACACTCAGCACTACCAACACCTCCCATCACCAAATCACTATGAATAGTCTCTGAATGATCCGGCAATGATTGTAAATCAATGAGTTCCATAACCGCATCTGGTGACATCATTTCTTTTTCGCTGTCACCACCAAACTCCACAGTGAACCCGTGCACATTGCATCTAACATAGATGTTATACGGTCCAGTGCCTCGTCGGGAGGGATGTATGTGATTCCACCACCGATCTGGAAACAAAAATATTTATATAGAAATAATACATATTAGTTTTCTAAGATGATTAGGTATATCTCACAAAATGTTACGAAATATTTGATGTATGTACTTATTACAAACCTTTAAATTATTTTGTCTTATCAATGTATTGCGTTTCCTTGCCGAGTTCTTTAAGTTTTTCCACTTTAAGCGTAGTTGCTCAGGACGCCGTAATTCTCCCGCCATCGCACTGAACTCCTACGCTATGGATTTCCAAGCCTCTACTTTTAATTTGTTATTTGTAGCATTCGTTGCCTTGGTAGTAATTACCTTTTGCTTGGAAATCAAGTCAATCAGGAAGAGTATTTCGGCCTTTCCAAGGGCCCTTACCGTCATCTGAAACAAAGTTTTATAGATGCCTTACGAGAAGAGATAAAAGTTCGTCATTATTTGATGCTAGCCTTAATTTAGAAATGTGTATAATGAATAATTAATTAATTTAAAACATTTTATAATAACCATAATATTTTAAATAAATCATAATATTTTATTGCAAAACGTGACGCAATTTACATCGAAGGAAAAACAAAATGCTTAGGAGGGACGCATTAACCAAAGTTATCTTGAGCTATCTTTCTTTTACCTCGGGGAAGCTATCGAACATTACTTTTAATTACGTTATTGAGACGACAGCAACAGATAGCTTAAACTTAACTGTTTACCTTCGGTAACTACTCGGCTGCACTAAAAGTATCGGCAATGGAATATTTCCACTGTTCCTGTCATATTAAAATCTTTTTAATTGAAAACTCCTTGGTTTTAAAAATCGAATACCATTTATTTATTTAAAAAAAGATTCTCGGTCTTGTCACAAGGTTTTGTCAAACTTGTTTAGTCGTTGAGAAAATGGAATTGACTAGAGAAAATTCAAGAGCAATAATTTATTATGACTTTTGGAGTGGTTTAACACAAAAACAGTGTGTTGACCGGATGATTTCCGCATTTGGTGATAAAGCTCCATCCAAAACCACAATTTATCGCTGGTTTGCTCAATTTCAACGTGGACGTGTCAAGCTCAGTGATGATCCCCGTCAAGGTCGTCCAAAAACTGCAGTCACCCAAGAAAACGTTGATGCTGTGCGTAAGCTGATTGAGGAAGATCGACATGTGAAATACCGAGAAATTCAGGCAACTTTAGACATTGGCATGAGTCAAATACAAATAATCTTGCATGAACAATTGGGTGTAAAAAAGTTATTTTCTCGATGGATACCGCATTCGCTCTGTGAAGAGCAAAAAGCGGCTCGTGTTACTTGATGCGTCAGAACTCTCGAAAGATTCCACGCAGGATCCTCAAATGCTGTATAAAACATTGTATCAGGTGACGAATCCTGGATATACGCGTACGAACCCGAAACAAAAAACCAGTCACGAGTTTGGGTGTTCGAAAATGAGTTAAAGCCAACAAAAATTGTTCGTTCACGGAGTGTTGCAAAAAAAATAGTGGCCACGTTTGTCTCCAAAACCGGCCATGTTACGACTATTCCTCTTGAGGGACAAAGAACGGTTAACCCGTATGTGCTCAACTTTTTTTTCTCGTAAAAGCTGGTATTTTTTTGTTTTATTCTAAGTCCAATTAGCGTAAAATAAGGTTTTCTTAAAATTAAATAATAAAAAATAAACCGTTTTGGACATTTTCACCGCCCCAATTTTGGGGCGCTGAGCACGGTAGACCACGTTCATAACAACTCCTCAAATTTTTCAATTTTAATTAATTTAAAGAGAAATATAATATAATAACTATTATAGAGGTTGTATAGAAATTTTTAAAGAATATTTATTATATAATAGTGCTTATTCTATCGGTATTTATCATATATTTAGGAATGGAAAATTTCAAAACAATTAGTATGACAGCCGACATCACATTTTCGGCATATTTTTGTAGTATTTTGATGGCATTCGGCACAACGTATCTGAGTTGCACTAGAAATAATTAAATGGTCAGCCCCATCTAGACGTACATCATCTGGCACCCTCCTTTTCCTAGACGGCTTCATAGGACGGCCTAAAGAGCGAGCCGACGCATATCTTCGTAGATAAGTTGTAACCACAGACCTGATAAAGGCTAGGAAATCAAGATGCCCTTTCTCTTGCCCAGCTGATGAGAGCCTGTACAACTGAAAAGCGTTATTCATTGAAGCGTTCAAGGGCCACATCAGAAGTTGCCAATACCATTTTTTTATTTATGCTAATGCGGTAGCAGCCTATGTTTTGATGTAGACGATCTACTCCGCCCATATATTGATTATACATTTGAACACAAAAGGGCTGTTGAATCGAGATTTTTTTCTTTCAGCACTTGACCATCGCTGTGCGGATCCAACTGGAGAAACACCTTCACAGGTAGAAGCTACGGTAACAACGTTATTGCCGTTGTATCGCACTAGAGCACGCCTGATGTTTCATCGATGATTTGATCATAGCTCCCACACTGTTTTTTCTTTATGTCAGCGATTGATTCCAGAGGCGCATATTCGACCCTATTGGCCCGTATTGTTCCTGTCCCCTGGTGACCAATATCTTTCAAAGCGATGAGCAATCTAAACGATGTAAAAAAATTGTCTATGTAAACATGAACTGGGAAATCTGTAGGCAATTTGGCCACCAAATTCATAATGACAGATCCTCCAACACCTAAATCGGGATCAGTGTTGCCTGTGCTAGCCCCTTGATAAGGTATGGCTTGTATAAGATATCCCAGCCGTGTAGCCATGCACCAGCACTTGAATCCGAAACGAATGAGTTTTCCATGAATGTACTGTTTTGTACTATGATGGCCGTAGTACGGAATCATTGATTCGTCGATACTAACTTCGTTATACTGAGGCCAATACTTCATCCATTTTTCGTTTAGTTTCTCCCATAAAGGTCGCACTTTTGTGAACTTGTCCTGGACATCTAAAGCTGCGTTATCGGAAACGTGCATAAATCGAAGTATTTGTTCAAATCGAGATCGAGATTTTGCATTAGTTCCGCCAGGGTGATAGGTATCGATTCCAGTATCCCAGTACATGCGGTTCGTTGCTTGAACATTATATCCACTTAGGAAAAGTATTGCTAAGACGAGGCGAATTTCTTCTTTGGTAACATCAAAATGTTTACCTTCGAAAACCGCATACCTTCTTGAATTTTCTACAAACAAATTCACAACGTCGTCATCGTAAAATAATACAAAAAATTCAGTAGGCGACCTATTAGTGTCTACAAACTCGGGACGATGGCACTCTCTTCTTTGATATTCGGGTAAATCTGATTTTTTCCACTTTCTTTTTTCTATGATCTTCTTTTTTCTTTTTGGCGCAGAAGTGAATGCGATCTCCGATAGGGGTACGTTGTCGTCATCACTCGACTCCAATCCTATTAATTCTGTTTGTAATAGTGGACCCGATTTGCGCACATATTGAAGCTGTGCCCCGGCTCATAGTTGGTTGCCTGTCAGGTGATTGATATCACCTACGAGCGCATCTTCCTCGTCACTATCGCAGTCATGGTTGCTAGGCGGGCATGTGTAGATAGTGCCCTCAACAATGTCATCTTCCGTCTCTAATATGTCAATAATTTCTGCCAAACTCAACCTAAAACAACAAAATAAATATAAAAATATAACATATAAAGTTCCAATATAACTGGCAGTAGCTATAAACAATGTAAATAAAATATAACGCATATACTATGAAATTTGAAATCAACATGCAAGTACGCGACCAGCGCCCCAATAATGGGGCGCTATAAATAATGCCTCTAAAAAACTAAATCTCAACAGAAAGAATCGATTTTTATCACAGAACTAACCAAGTGTAAACTAATACATATAACAAACTGCTTTACACAGTTTTACTTATGAAAAAATAATAATAAACTTACTTTTTACTTCTCGCCATCGTAAACACCACACTTGCACTTTTTAAAATTTTTTAAAAAAAATGGCGCCAACACTTTGAAAAACGTCACTTTTATGATGGTAAAGTGTAAACAAAACGAACAGTACCATTCAAAAATCAAACCACAGTTTTAGGTTGCCACAGATAATAAATAATGTGCCGTTTTAAAAATGGGGCGGTGAGCACATATGGGTTAATGCAGAATGGTATGCTAACATTTGTTTGCCACAGGTTGTTTCTGAACTCCGTAAAGAAAACTGCAATCGCCGCATCATCCTCTATCACGTCAAAGCGAGTTCTCACACCGCATACAGAACAAAAGAGTTTTTAGAACAAGAAAACATAGAATTATTAGACCATCCGCCGTATAGCCCCGACCTAAGCCCTAATGATTTCTAAATAAAGAATAAATTGCGTGGACAGAGATTTTCATCACCTGAAGAAGCTGTGGACGCCTACAAAACGGCCATTTTGGAGACCCCAACTTCCGAATGGAATGGTTGCTTCAATGATTGGTTCCATCGTATGGAAAAATGTGTCAAATTTCGCGGAGAATACTTCGAAAAGCAATGAATACATTTTTAAATAGTAATGTTGTGTCACTTCCTTGATTCCCGAAATTTTCAGTGCCGTACTCGTACCTAATACCTATTAATACCTAATAAATAAAAAATACCTAAATAATAACTGATTGTATGAAATTGAGACTGGCCGTAAACGATCAACGAATAGATAAGTGAGGTATATCAAACAATACGGACTCACTTTCCAAAAATAAATCGAATCCGGATACACATGCGTAGTAATATTTCGGTTTCTTTTAGATCACATTATATAAAATTGTTCACGGATATTATGTCAATTCTAGACAGACAAAACGAAAGCACGAAGATCACAGAAACAGCGACATCTAGATTTTATTTAAGAAATTAGCAAATACCGTATTTTCATAATGATACTGATTAAAATTATATAGGTATTTTTATTAAAGCAGGAAAGTCAAAACATCATTAAGAAATTCTAAAACCCTGAATAGAATTGACAAGATTATGTGGCACGTAATTTAAGCATCGAAACATTTAGTTCTATTATAAGAACCTTGGGTCAAGGTTACAAGGAAGGTGATAATTTTTAAGGAACTTTAAGTATAAATTTATTCTTATCGTGATTAGCGATCGCCTTAGAATAAACCAATGCACGTTATACTCCGTAGCTGGTTATAAATGTTTATTTTTGATTTATTTTCACCTGGCATTAATGAAATAATTATATCGCCATCTGTGAGAAGCGGTAAGAACTTTC